GGAAGTTGTTCCCAGTAAAACATGATAAATACGTTATCAAAGAATTTCCGAAGAAAAGTATTTTTATTCATTTTAAAACATTGGGATGTCATCGTCAATACAGAAACATAAGCATAAACGAAACTTACATTTATTTACACTAGCGATCTACATCTCTTTAATCTCTCAGTGTAATGTGACTTCATATCAACACTTGTGATATAAATAAACTGAGTGGGTCAGGTTGGGAAACCTGGTGAGTACATAGGGTTTTCAACCCCACAATAATATAATTATTATGTTTAAACAATCAAACAATCAACCCAATTACCCATCCTCATTATCTTCTTTACCCTTAAGGATCTATCCTAAGAGTCATCTATTCATTTATTCTGAAGTCCCTTGCTTCCAGGGTTATAGGACTGGCACTAAATCCATAGCTGCTAATACTCGTTCGTAAAGCACTAATTCCATAGCTGCTATAGTTTATTCATCGGGTACTAAATCCATAGCTACCAGTGTTTATCTAATAGGTACTAAGTCCATAGCTACCAATTCCTATCATGTGCTAAGTCCATAGCTACCAGTATTTGTCCAATAGGCACTAAGTCCATAGCTGCCGATGTTTATTAGGCACTAAGTCTATAGCTGCCAATGTTTACTCACGTCATCTTTTATCTCTCATCATTCATCTACGCATGTCATACCCAACATATTCGTATATATAAAATACGTATACAGTTTAAATCATTTAAAACATGTATAAAAATCTTTCACCAGCATAGACAGCAAGTATTCATACAATATGCACATATAGCACGTAATTTATATTAAAATACTTCATATCTATGTGTAAGATGAAAGTAACTATGCACTCACTTGTTAAAGTGATGATTCCAAACTCGGGCAGCGCTTTGCTTTTAACGATTCTATTTTCCTTCGACGAAACCTAGTATTATTACCACTAGAGTTCAGTCTATTATTCCTCGAGACTAATTAATAGTCTAGCTATTATTACTATTATATAAGCATTAAACAATACTTATATAACCCATAATAATAACTCAATTACTTATTATTAGTTCTTAATAACGTTACTATAATTAAATAAAAGCTATATTAAAAATAGCGTAGGCGTAGCTCACTTACAACAGGTTTTATAGAAAACCAGGCTTTGCTTGGAGCAGCATTCCCGTGTGGAAAAGCTCTTCTTCTCGGAGCCGTCGAGCACTCCGGGGCTTCCGCCTCGTGCTAGGGAGGTGCCCTAGGCCTTTCGGGGGGTTTCGGGGCTAGAGAGAGGTTCTAGAGAGAGAGAGAGAGAGAAAGTAAAAAGAAGAAAGAATAGGAAAGGTGTGAAGAAAATGAGGGTGAGAGAGGTTCTATTTATAGGGTGAAAATGGATGAACTTGGTGACACATGTCACCATCTAGTGGCAAGACTTGGAGAGAAAGCAATGGCCAAGATTGTGCCACATCACCTATTTTCGCACAACACACTTCCGACTTCTAAAATCCGTAATTTTCACATACGACCTCTGTTTTTGACGTTCTTTATATCCACGCGTAGGTAAAAATAACATCTACAACTTTCATTTTGACTCCGTCGGCTAATTCTCGACCGATCTTAAATTTAACAGTACGAGGAAATTATACCGTTAAATATCCGCGTAAAATTCATAACTTCTACATACAGACTTTGTTTTCGTCTGTCTTTTTACCGTTGAATTACTATTAATGATATCTTCAATTCTCATTTAGGTCTCATAGGCCAAAAACCACTCGAACTAAAATTCGAGTTTCGAGTCGTGCACTGTTATGCCAAATCTTAGAAAATTCATAACTTCCTCATACGAAGTCAGATTTGGGCGTTTTTTTTTTTTTTTTTTTTTTTTTTTTTTTTTTTTATGTTCTCGATTTAATGTATACTACAACTTTTATTTAGATCACTAAGGCTAAAAAGTCCTTTATCAAAAATTCACTATTTACGTCTCCCGGTGTCGTGCCGGTTTTGCCATAAAACTTCGACGGGCCATAACTTCTTCGTTATAACTCAGATTTCGGCTTTCTTTATATGTACGGAACCCTTGAGACATATTCTACAACTTGGTTAAGATTATTTATTCTAAATAATCTTTTGTCAAAAATTCGTTTTCGACCCCTATTATCTCTAAATTGACTAGCCCGGATCTACGGGCATTACACAAATACTCTCAAGTGAGAATATGATATGTCTTTACCTGTCCATATCTTCTCTGAAACTTCAAAATTTAATGGAACAGAGGGTGACCTATTTATTAGATAGCAAGTTGTCAATACAGCTTCACCCCAGAATGGCTTTGGGAGTTTAGTCATGTTGAGCATGCATCGAACTTTCTCAACAATAGTTCGATTCATTCATTTTGCTACAACATTGTGTTGTGGGGTTCGTGGGACAATCTTTTCATGTCTGATACCATGTTCCGTGCAGTATTTAGAGAACTCACGGGAATAGTACTCGCCTCCATTATCTGATCGGAGACATTTTAACTGCTTTCCTGTTTGTCTTTCCACCTTTGCATGAAAAGCTTTGAAGCGGTCCAATACTTGGTCCTTCGTCCCCAAACAATATGTCCATACCTTTCGTGATGCATCGTCAATGAATGTTACAAAAAACCGGCTTCCACCAAGAGATTCTACTTTAATGGGTCCACATACATCGGAGTGGACAAGGCTTAGCAACTCAGAGCGATTTTTTCTTGTGGAGCTAAAGGAAACTCTATGTTGTTTCCCAAATAGGCAGTATTCACAAGGATCCAGAGCAACATCTTTTGCCATTGAAATGGACTCCTTTGCAAGAGCCGTCAATCCCTTCTAGCTCATGTGGCCTAGTCTTCTATGCCACAAGTTTGGTGATGTCTCTTCTTCAACAACATTGAGACTTGGTTGAAGTAGCTTTGCATGGCTTTTATAAAGAGCACCATCAAGTTGTCCACTTGCAACAACCATAACACCTTTTAACAACTTCCAGGTATGATTTTTGAATTGATTATCATATCCTTGGACGTCAAGAACTCCAACTGAGATAAGATTCATTCTCAGCTTTGGGACATGTCGAACATCTTTCAGCACCAATATACATCCAACATTTGTCTTTAAATGCACATCACCAATACCAGCAATGCTTGAGAAACTAGTGTTTCCCATCTTCACGGTACCATGGTCTCCGGGTTTATAAGTAATGAATAAATCTTGGTTTGGAGTCGAATGATATGATGCAGTGCTATCAATCACCCACTCATCATCATGAATTCGAACATGTAGGCATGCTTCCTCCTCGTATGTAACAAGGGAAACGTCTCGTGTTATGGTGACCATGTTTTCACCATTCTCCCTGCTTGAATTTTGTCTTGTCTCGAGCTGCTCTCGTAAGAACCTTTGGTAATCACTCCTTTTGTGGCCATAATAACAATGATTGCAATAGCCTTCAAACCAAGTATTTGAATATTTACCTCGCTCTCGCGATTTCCCTCGGTCCCGTGATTTCCCTCGATCTTGGGATCTTCCTCTACTTTGACCATGTCTTCCTTTACCTCAACCTCGACCTCGGCCTCCAGTTCTGCCTCCGCCTCTTTCTTTGTTTTCTGACGCGAGGGCAAAAGACTGATCTGTACCAGCTTCTTTCCTTCTGGCTTCCCCGTTCATTAGGGCGTCTGTAACCATCTCCATTTTCACTTTACCACCGGGGGCAGAATTGATGAGAGTCACAACAAGCGTCTCCCAATTATCTGGTAGAGAACTCAAGAGCAATATGGCTTGTTCCTCGTCTTTGAGAACCCAATCAACAACACCGAGTTGGTTTACGAGATCCTGGAACTGATTCGTATGCTCGGTTATGGACGTACCACTTCGTACCTTGTGGTTTATAAGGCGCCTCGTCAACAAGGTCTTGTTGCGTGCTGTCTTTGCCTGATACATATTTTCGAGCCTCTTCCAAAGTTTGTACGTGTCTGTCTCTTGAGAGACATGATGAAAAACACCGTGGTTGATCCACTGTCGAATTTTTGCCACCGTTTTTCTTGTTTATTCTCGTCCAAACTTTGTTTATATTCATGTCGGGTTTGATGCCTTGATTTTCTATAGGCTCTGCTAAATCTTTTAGATTAAGCAAATCTTCCATCCTTGGCTTCCACATGTTGTAATATGTGGGTGTAGTCGAACCATCGTAATCGTACTTGTAGATTCCATCGAAAATAATTGAAAACTTATTTTACAAATATTTCGAGGAAAAATTAGATAAAAACCAAACTCTCGGTTGGATTCGAGAGCGTCAAAATGGTGGGGTAGAATTTTCCGGGGTCAAAATATACTTTCTTGAAAAGTTATGTGCTAACTTGTAACTTTTCAGAACTATAGGGGCTAAAATGTAATTTTCGAAACTTATAGGGGCCAACCTGAAACGTTTCTGCAAACCAGAGACCTTTCTGAAGCTTTTCAGAAGTCCAGGGATCAAAACAATTAATTTCAGAAACAGAGGGACCTATCTGCAACTTTCTGGAACTTCAGGGGCTAAACTGCAACTTTTCTGAAAAGCCGATCAATGTTGACGTCATCGATGACGTCACTCGTCTTCTCCGGCGAGCTTCTCTGGCAACTAGTTTTTCTGGTGACAACTTTCGGCAACTTTGACCGGACTTTGACCGACGATTTGAGGGCCTTCCGGTGGTCAAAAAATTACGAAAAATATATTTTTCGGAATCCTTGAAACAAGCCATTTCCAATAGTGTACTTAAAAATGGATTTTGAGACAAAAAAATTTTGACGAAAAAACAGAGAAATTCGTAAAGAATTCCCTAGACACCAAACAGGGCTCTGATACCATTGTTGGGGTTGGAAAACTCTTCTATTAAACACTAAAATAGAATTATAATTGGAGGAGTAACTCTCACACTCAACTATTACAAAAAACCAACCCTCTCACTAACACACTCACTCTAAGTGTTATACTATCTGTTTTTCTGTGTTTGGGATGCTTCTTAACGGAAGATGAAGCCTCTATTTATACCCATGGCAACCACCATTTGTGCAACCTTCATTAATTGTGTTCATCATAGGGTTGGAAGACTTTTCCACCTTAGGTTTCATTTTGTCAACAAAAATGGCTACTATAGCTTTGGAGGCTTTGGAGGGTGGAACACAACAAAACGGCCCCACGCACTGTGGGTACCCTGGTTTTGAAATAAACTGTGATGAACATAACCCACCAACCATCAACATTAAGAACATGACTTACCTGGTTTAGGAGTCGGGACATCGATCCAACCATCAGATTTTGAAAATAGTTCAAGAAGATATGATCGACTCAATCTGTCCACAAGATCAAGTCAACACCACCACGGATTACAATCTTTTCGATTACAATTCGGCCTACATGAACATGAGCTTCCTTTTGGGTGCCCAGTTTCTTGGAACGGATGGGAGTTGGGTCGGATTTGTGCGATAAGAGTGGGGTAAACCGGTCTTTTTGACATTGGGGTACATGGGCCTTTGGATTGTGAAAGTAGTGTCGTGATTCCGGTTCCGTTTGAATTTGTGAATCCGAGTTTGTCGGGTCGGGTTATAGGAAACGGGTTTGAGGTTAAGTGGAAGGTGGATGATGAGGTCTACATTGGGTGCAGGCAGTCTAGCGGAGAGTGCATGTATGATAATGGTACACTTATGACCGTCCGTGGCTGCCCGGAACAGCCTTTGTTGGCAGATAGTTGTGACGGAGTTAACAAAACTTGAGTCGAGTCATCATCGTCATCAACTAAGAAACTCTTTTGGATTTTGTTTTCACCAAAATGAACTATATGTGGGAATAGGGATTGAAGAATTAAAGGTTCACATGCAATACACCATACACATAAAAAATGTAAATGAAAAAGAAATGATTATGTACAACTACACCACCAATCTACAATTAGGACCTCGTAGTTCATGGATATAAGAAAAAAGTAAAAGAACGTTACTATAATCGGTTACAAATTTTAAAATAATGTGTTTTTATTAAGATAAAAGTGAAAGAACAATTCTATAATTAGCTGATTAGATGTTCAACACATTATCTGAAAAGCCTAATCCCCAGATCTGCTGCATAAATGGTAAAATGTTGATTTTGGGGTTTTATTTTATATTCATGTTTCATCAGTTTCTCAGGGCTTGAGATCAGGTGCATATTATCTCACATTGGGAGGTACAACTTCTGCTACTTCATATTAATTTTACCACTTCATTTGGTCTATTGGTCATTGTACTTTTAGTGTTTTACAAATGTTGTTTTATATTTGATTTTCTATTGTCATCAGTTAGGTGTCAAACCCTCAAACATGTATATACTGCACTATACTCTAGACTTGTTTTTTTCTTTTCACTAATTTAATGGTACTTAAAATTCAAATAAAATTGCTTAACTGATGACAAATAAACTCGATCTCATCCCACTTTAGAGTTTGGTTGCAAATGAGTACGGATTTGAATTCACAAATCCTTTGACTCGATGCATTTCAACATTACATCCAAAAAACCATGGAACTCAATAGAAATTTCAACATCATGCTAACCAAAAGCTTTACAGAATACAATTATTTTCTGTTCTGCAGGGAAATGGTTTACTTCACGTTCCTAAAGGCTATGGATATGATGAAGACAAACAGGTAAATCCGTTTCTTAGATTCTATTATTTATTTGACATTTAGTTTACATTCTTTTTCCAACTTACCACTCTATAGGTTTTTTACACATGTAGATTTCTAAAGCTATGATTTCAACCTGGTATCTTTTTTTTTTTTGACCCTTGTATCTGATGTTAGGAATGGCAACAGGGCGGGGCAGAGCATCCCCTCGCGGCGCCCTCGACCCTAAACCCGAAACCCGATATAGACCCGAAAACCAGAAATGTAAAACTACAAAGGAACAATGAGAAATTAAAACTTTACATAAACTTAAAATACCAAATAAGTTCTTAAGATCATTGAACCAAATAGAAATTAATAATAGTCTAATATTATAACAAAAACAAACAACGAAGGCACCAAAGGTACAAAATATGAAAAACTAAATTCATCATGATAGTATACTACATTTAAACATTAAAACCGACTCAAAATCATCCAAATATGTTGTCCTTTTTTCTTTAGTGCCTTCATACAAAATGTTAAACAAACTCAAAATCAAACCAAATCATTCAAACTATATAAAAGTAATATTCTTATTTCTTATTCGCATCATTTTACCTCTTCAACATCATAATCTAATTCAATCGACTAACAATATGCCTCGGTCTCTTCCGAAGAAGTTGTATATAAAAAAACATAAAATCAATTTAACAAAAATATTATTAGTATGAAAAAACGATTCATAATTTCATATAATTGGTATAAAATACTATATTATCTCGAATTTCATTCAACAATCAACTATGAGCACACATTAAAGCCTTCAATGTCTTTGCATGAAGTCGACTACTATGAGGAATGTTTTCACTCATATACCCTGAAAATAAACAAACCATCTTTATGCAATCAGATACACAGTAAGTCAATAACACATATAAATGGTTTTAACTTTTAAATCAAAAGTATATACATGGAATGTAACAAGTTTGAATTAGAATATCATAGTTTTAAATCAGAAACATATAACAAACTAATCAGATTTGAGGCTCAAATCAGAGGGAGAGATGGAATGCAACAGGTGTGAGTCAACAAGTTTGAATCAACAAACATGTTTGAACCAACCGATAAACAAATATATAGATGCAATAAACTAACCAGCAGAATATCAGAAACAGTTTGACTTAGAATCAGTAACGATATGTGCATTTGAATCAAGAATCAGTAACCATGTGTATTTGAACAAGAATATCAGATACAACAAACTAATCAACAAAAGAGGTTCAAATTATGATTCTCAACAGCAAGGGTAGATGCGAACAAAATTTTAGGCTCAAATCAACAAGCTAATCAAACTTGAGGCTCAAATCAACGAGATTGCGAACATGTGTGCTTCGAACAGAATTTGCAAAAAACAAATAAAAAAAAAAAAAGCTTAAGCATACCTAAATTCGGATTGATTGCGAACATGTGTGTTTAGGATCGATGCATGACATTGATATTTTATTTTAGTGCCATTTTATTGTAAATTTATAATTGCTAATTTTAGTTTGTTATCAAGTCTTTTATATATATATATATATATATATATATATATATATATATATATATATATATATATATATATATATATATATATATATATAACTTTAAATAAGAAGAATATTAAGGATCATAATATTTTTCGTTCATATTTTTTTTATTAATATTATTTTTGTATTATAACATCTTGAATCAAATTATTTTGAAGAATAAATTACACGAATGGTCCCTATGGTTTGGGGTAGTTTTTGTGTTTTGTCCTTAACTTATATATTTTTTTTTAACTCAGAAAGTATTTATTGTTTGTTTTTGTTACACACTTGGTCTCTACTGTTTTTGTTATGCATTTGGTCTCTGTTTTACCTAAAAACTATTATTTAAATAGGAAAAAATGGTGAGGTATGTAAGATAAAGTGAGGGGTGGGTTGAGAGTATTTATTTAAATAGATTAAAAAAATCAATGGCAAATAGTCTTTCTAAGTAAGAAAGGGACCAAACGTGTAATAAAAACAAACAGTATCAACCTTCCGAGTTAAAAAATAAGTAAGAGACCAAACACGCAAAGTACTCTAAACCATAGGGATCATTCGTGTAATTTACTCTATTTTAAATTATAATATTTTGAATTAAATCAGTTTTGAATCATAAGATTTCAGATCAATAATATATTCAATAAATCATTTTCCATTAATTTTTAAGTTGTTATAGTTTAAAAAAACAAAATAAAAAAACAATCTACATGTTAAAATTAGAAGGATATTGTTTATTATTAAAACTTAAATATTGTTTTTTTATGATAAAAATATAATTTAGCCACCCCATAATTATAGCTCAAAAGTTGTAATTCATATTATTAGGGGCAATAATATAATTCTTTTAGAAATTTATAGTGGAGAATAGTTCCCAGCAACAAAAGCAATATTTTCGACAAACGATAAGTAGTTTTTTTGTTGTATAGTAACTATCTTTTCGGCGATTAATTTATTTTTTTGTTGACATAATGAGGGAGAATGAACCCTAATTACCAACAATCTTCGGGAATAGAACCCTTATGCACTTTATTTTTTATTATTTATGGTAAAAGAGCATAAAACTGAACAACTAAAAATTTTGGATTTGAACTACATCAAGTAAAAAAGATCATAGTAGTTCAAGAAATAATTCTTACAATAATACCATAGGAATCGCCAATTCCCAAAAAAACCACTGTAATTTTGATTTATAATGAAATAAAAATACTATTTTACTTTTAACTATTTCTATCACTTAAACCTCCAAATCTAATACTCATTAAAATAGAGTAAGCATACGATGATTTGAAGTTCCAAAAATTAAGTTCGATGTGCTATTCTTATCTTTAAAATCCAATTGTAATACATGAAATAAATAAAAATGACACATAACTCCAATAGTAATTTTCGATTTTTGGGTGTGTCGGCTGGCGTGGAAGAATGAAGAGAAGTGGATGGAGTATACGGGAGTGGAAACGTGATTTTAGGGTTAAAGTCTATATATATATATATATATATATATATATATATATATATATATATATATATATTCGGGGCTCGGTTGGGCGGGGCGCGCATATCCTACACCCTGCCCTGAACCCTACTTGCACCTGAATAAAATTCCCATTAAGAGCGACGCGACCCAACTTGAAATCTTTGGGATTCGGGTTTTTTGTCATCACTAATGTTCAAAATCTATCGAGCTAAGCCGTATCGTGTTCAAACTATAGTGATATAAGCGACATGGTGCTTAAAATCTATCGATCCTAATGATAACCTAAAATCCAACACTCTCCATTCGCAACGAAGTTTGGATTTCATCTAGGTTGAATAAAAAACGATAATAAACTTACAAACAAAAAAATTACGTAGAAAATGTTTGCATTTTTTTCAGTCTATTAAATTGTACTAAATTGTACGACATGATAATTTTATCATTAATTGCAACATAAAGAAAAATGCTTCAAAACATTTTACATACTTATTAAAATAACGATCAAAAACTTACAAATAAAAATCCACTATTGTATACAAATAGCCGTTGGCATATTTTATTGATAATGATTAGTTTTTATTGTTGTAGTATTTAACCTATAATATATATATATATATATATATATATATATATATATATATATATATATATATATATATATAACATCTATTAATAAGTAGCTTACTAAAATACATTTAATTGAAAATCAGACGGGTTGCCGACAAATAGGGCAACTTTGATTTACACAACACCAGTTGTGAAGGCAATGGTCATGGAATGAGTGTTGGCACGACACCACAATTCCGACCATGTCGTTCTCATTGAATTCGTTGATACATATGGCACACTCATTGATGTTGTGTGTTTGCCTATTGTAGACCTCAGTTTTGATGGGTTGATTAACTTGTGCCTGTAGAGGCAAAGATGTTTCGAAAATAGTATCGATATAACGAATAAGCAGTAAAAACCCGAAAATTCCAATAACGATATAGACCAAACCAATCACTGTTCCGATATGCGAAGACTCTTTGATATGAATTGGGAGAACACGTTCATACATGAATAAAAAGAAAAATCCCATAGCGA